AGTAAAATATTTGCCAGCCTTGGGCATTTTGGACTCTTGAATTCCCATTGTTATGTCTCACCACAAAGTTGTTTTTATCAACATAATATTTTGAATTGATTAATATAAAATGTTTGGGGATTTTTTTTTTCTTTTTTTAAGACAGAGTCTCACTCTGTCACCCCTGGTAGAGTGCTATGGCATCATTATAGCTCATAGAAATCTCAGTTTCTTGGACTTGAGTGATCCTCTTGCCTCAGCTTCCCCAATAGCTGGGACTACAGGTGCCTGCCACAACACCTAACTTTTTCTATTGTTAGTACAGTCTAGTCTTACCCTCACTCAGGCTGGTCTGAGCTCAAGCAATCCATCGCCTCCACCTCCCAGAGTGCTGGTGATACGGGATTTTTGATACTGAATTTCCAGGCTCTTGGTCTCGGCAGTTCAAAGAATGAAGCTACGGACCACAGGATAGGTTTTATTCAACAGGTATAAGTGTTACAGCTCTTATAACAAGCCAAACCTCTTTGTAGGGTAGGATTAGCAGTAAGATAGGTTTTATAATACGAGTGTTACAGCTCTTATAAAGGAGCAAACTTCCTTGTAAGTGTTTACAGCTCCTACAAAGGGGCAAACCCCTTTGTGAGTGTTTACAGCTCTTACAAAGGGGCAAATCTCATAGAGCAGGATACAAGTGTTACAGAGCCAAACCTCTTTGCTCTTCTCCTGAGATCTGCCCAAGTCTGTGCTCAGGGTCTCTGGCTTATATAGGGGCAGTTGTCCAATGAGTTTTTGGATTTTGAAAATAGACTAATCCTGAATAGGTTTTGAAAATGGACCAATTAGGGATGGACTGGAGGAATTGCCAGAAGTCCACGTGAGGAGACAGCATGGCGCCAGTGTCTTTCCCCGCACCTGTTCGGTTCTTTTGGCTACTGGAGCCTCTGTTGGGGGAGGGAAGCGCCCCCTTTTGCTCCAGCCTGCTGGTTTTTGTGCCAGCTGCCGTCAAGGTCCTCTAGCCGGCAGGTCCTCTAGCACCGCTCTACTGGACCCTTTTGGGGGGGATGGAAGCTCCCATCTGCTTGCTCCAACCTGCTGGTTCCTCTGCTGGTTCCTCTGCCGGCTACTGCCACCAAGACAGAGGTGGCAGGTCCCCAAGCTCCGCTCGGCTGAGCTGGCTGGGGTGCCACTTTTCCGGTATCACTAGGATTACAGTCGTGAGCCACCACACCTGGCCTTTGTGGATTTAATTGATAACCACAAAAAATATATATTTTCTATAAGAATGTCATAAAGTAGTATTTCTTCTTTAAAGTCAATAACCACCACCAAAAAGTAGACCACGAGGAGTAAAGGATCCTAATTACAGGACATTTTAGTCCTACATTTGATGCCTGTTTTGTTACATGTATTTTATAATATTGTGGGTTCTATTCTTAGAACTCCAGGCTGTACAAAGAGGAATGTTAAAGAGGATATAAACTGTATTTAAAAAGAAATGATTGAAGATACAGGATGTTTGAATAAAGAAGATTTGACTCAGGAAATTTCATGTCCAGCTCCTGGAAAAAGAATCTAAAGGAATTCATTTTCATTGCTCCTAAAAGGCAGAAATAGGACTAAGAAATGCAACATACTGAGAGGTGAGTTTGAAGTCACTATGGTAATCCTCCTGGTAAAGTTGTCAGAATCAAAATGGAACCACTCACGTTAAGAAAATCCTTACAAACAGAGCCAGAGGAGGCCATGAAGGTTCTCATGCTTACATGCCTGATTACAAAAAAAAAGACTCCAAAAACAGCCACCTTGCACAAAGGCCATTGCAACCTTAACACAAAATACATGTGCAAGGACATCTGCCCAGCAACCAACCATGTCCAAAGTTGGAACGCCATTACTATTGCTATTGTTCTTTGTAGCCAAGAATAATTATTTCAAAACAATTATGTGATCCTCTGCATTTTTTTCCTGTAAAAACCATCTTCCCTTCCCTCTTGAATATAAACACATACTAAACACACAGTTTACTATGGCACATGTATTCCCATTGCAATGCCCTATTCCCAAATAAATTTATCTTAGAGAGCTTCTCTCTGTTTGTTTTTTAGGTTGACATTCCAGTTTTTCTCCATGCACATAGAAAGCATTAAAATTGAGAGATGTCTTCCCGATGTTTCAGTCCAGTTCCCGTCCTACATAAAGAGTCTACACATCACACATCAGGTTAATACTTTGACATATTTTCAACCTACCTAAAATATTCTTAAAAATTTTTTTCCAGATGCATTTTGCTGCTGTCAGAGTTGAATTGGAGGACAGCTGGTATCCACTGGAGAATCTAAATAATTGCTTGCGTGGTATTTAGGGTAGCTCCCCAACACACATATCTGGCCCCAGAAGGATTGTGATCAGTAACAATTAGAAACAACACATTGGTTAGTTTTTCCTTTATGTCTTTGAGTTGTCAAGAGGGATTAGGAAACAAGGAAAATGGGCTTAATAGGGAAGATATTTGGGAATATATCAATATATGTGTAAATAATTAAGAGAGGGTCCCACACAGACTGAAAATGATAATGAGCTATAAGCAAAGAGATACTATCTCCTTGACCCTTGTATCTGAGAAATGAAGAGCATAAAATAAATAATATTTGAACACCATAGTATAGCTACACTTAAAAATTTGTTAACAGGATAGAGCTCATACTATGTGGGGGGTTTTGCTTGTTTGGTTCTGTTCATTGAGATAGGGTCTGTGTTGTGTTGACAACATCATAGCTCACAGCAACTTCAAATTTCTGGGCTCAAGTGATCCTCCTGCCTCTGCCTATAGAGTAGCTGGGACTACTGGCACATGTTCCCAAGCCTGGCTAGTTTTCCTGTTTTTTTGTAGAGTGGGGTTTCACTCTTGCTCAGGCTGGTCTCAAACTCCTGGTCTCAAGTGATCCTCCCACCTTTGCCTCCCAGAGTGCTAGACACCACACCCAGACAATACTGTGAATTTTAAACTACCATCAAATAAATGAATAAATGAAATGAGCACCAGCCAGAGAAAAAGGGTGCATTCTGGGCAAGCCCTAAACACACAGAGCCATGTGCTGGTCAGGAGTGCTAATGGAAAAAGGAAAGCCCAAACTCTATAAAATAAAGAGGTTTATTCTGAACCAGTGTGTGTGATTTCTACCCAGGAGAGCCACACCCAGAAAGTCTTGAGCCAAGATGATTTGGTTACAGTATGGTTTTCTATGTTTTAGGGAGACAGGAATTGTAGGTGAAATCATAAATCAATACATATAAAGAAAACACTGGTTTTTCCAGAAAAGACATGACATCTCAAAATAGGGGCTTACAGGTTATAGGTGGGTTGGAAGATTCTTTGATTTATAATTGAATAAAGAAATAAAGCTTTCAGGGTGCAGTGGCGGGAGGCCGAGGTGGGTCAATTGCTTGAGCTCAGGCGTTTGAGACCAGCCTGAGCAAAAGTAAGACCCTGTCCCTACTACAAATAGAAAAAAACAAAAAAACCAAAAAAACTAGCTGGGCATCGTAGTGGGTGCCTATAGTCCCAAGTACTCAAGAGGCTGAGGTAAGAGGATCTTTTGAGTCCAAGAAACTGAGGTTGCTGTGAGCTATGATGATGCCATGGCACTCTATCCAGGGCAGCAGAGTAAGACTATCTCACAAAAAGGAAAAGAAAAGAAAGCTTTGTTTAAAGGCCTGGCCTGGAACATTTTAAGTTAGATGAGAAAGTCTGTTGATCAGAGATAAGCCATGATATATGGACTCAGGTGATTTGTTGAGGAAACTAACGGCCAACAGAAGTAACTTGCAAAATGAATTACTAAATTTAAAGATGATAAGTATTAAGTTGCCTTTAATATCTGACATTTTGAATAACATACTTCTATAATTTTTTTAGACTTTTGGACTTAAAAATCCCATTCCCAACTCAATTTTTTACCTTTTCTATCTGCCTTTTTAAAAAACTTAGGATGGGGGTCTTTGACCATAGGAAGGGTGTCAATTTTTCATTGTAACTGCAATTATAATGCCAATCTTTTAAATATCTCTGATGTCAAAATCCCTCAAAAATGTAAGATTCAAGAAATCCATATATACCTACAGTATTCTAAACTGACAGTAAGTTGGTTAGGCTGCTGTAGCACAGTACCAGAGACTGGGTGCCTCAACTGACAAAACTATTTTCTCACAGACCTCGAGGCCAGGTGTCATCAATCAAGATGTCAGCAGGACAGCAGAGCTGGTCTTCCTGTGTCCTCATAAGGTTGTCCCTCTGGGTGTCTGTGTCCTAATCTCCCCTTATGAGGACACCAGACCTATTGGATCAGGGTCCACCCCAATTAACTCATTTACCTTAATTTTCTCTTTGATGGCTTTGTCTCCAAATAACAGGTACATTCTGAGGTACCTGGTGGCCATGTGCATATCAAGGGCTTATAAAGTAAAGAAATGTGATCAGACACCTGAATGTTAATGCCCAGATGCAAAACTGGAAGCCAGGCAGATAGTGGAGGTCCTAGGCTAGCTGTGGGGGCTAACCCCATGCCTGCCCCTACGTGAGCTACACCAGAGCCATTCTGTGGGCATTGGCCAGAGTCCCTGGCGAGGAGTTAGGGAGAAATGTGCTGTCTTTGGGATTGAGGTGCTCACCTGGGCTTTGTGTGTGTAGTGCCATCCCTCAAGGATGAGGGGCTAGGTTAAGAAGATGAGCTTAGTATTGAAACATGTTTCAGTTTGAGGTTTGGACTTTTGTGGAGTGTTTTTATATCTTATTCAGAAATTGCCTGACCTCTTCCAGCTCAGAGGCCCATCCCAGTAAACCCTGCTAGCTGCCATTTTACCCAAAGGAGTGGCACCCAAGTGCTTTCTGCAACCTGAGGACGTGGCGAAAAGCTTTAAAACTACTTACATCTAAAGTCAAACCCCATTATTGTTTGTGGAGGAGAAAAGCCATGGAAAGAAAGTGAATCATGATTGATGGGGAGATTGCTGAGTTCAATGGTGTATATGCTGTCAGCAGGGTGTTATGCAGCCATGGGAAAGAATTAGATCTGTTCCAGAAAATCTGAAGGGAAGGAGCATGAAAAACCAGAAATGTGTGTGTGTATCAGAACCACTTTTGGTGAAATGATTATCAAATATATATGGAGCTGAACCTCCATGGTTGACCATCTCCTCAAGTTGATCTAATTTTCACAGACCAGACATATACTATATGTACATATCAGTATAGTAGGCCTAATTCCTTAGTTGACCACCTCTGTATATGGACCAGTTTGTAACAGTCCTTGAGTGGTTAATTTACAGAGGTTCTGCTGTGTGTGTATGTGTGTGTGTAATAAGGAAAAATTTATAGAAAGTTCTTACTATAAGTGAGGGCAGAAGGTGAGAAGGGGAGACAGGAAAAATAGAAAGCCAAAGCTCTTATCACACGTGTAATTTCATGTTTAACTGATCCTTGAACAACTCGAAAGGGTTGGGGTGCCACCCCACCCACTTCTAGTGCAGTCCAAAATCCTCATATGACTTTGGACTCCCCCCAAAACTCAACTAATAGTAGTCTCCTCTTGATTAGAAGCCTTACTTATAACATAAACAATACATATTTTATGCAGTAGAACCTCTGTAAGTCAACTACGCAAGGGTCTGTAACAAACTTGTCAACATACAGAAGTGGTCAACATAAGGAACTAGGCCTATTGTATGGATACGCACAAGTGGTGCATGTACAGTTTATGAAAATTGTTTCAACTTAAGGAAATGGTCAACTATGGAGATTCTACTGTAGATGTTTGATGTATTGTACAATGACCATAAGGTAAGCTAGAGAAAAGAAAATGCCATTAAGAAAATCACAAGGAAGAGAAAATATGTTTACTATCGATTTAGTGAATCATCTTAAAGCTCTTCATCTTGGAGGAGGAGGAAAAGGAAAGGTTGGTCTTGTCTCAGGAATAGCAGAGATAGAATAAAATTTCCATATAAGCAGACATGCATAGTTCATACTGTGTTGTTCAAAGGTTGATTGTACTCTTGATAAACTCACACAGGTGTAAATACAGGTATAAAGAAGTTTGAAATAGCAAATCAGTGATGCCACTCAACACAGCTATTGGTCACAGCCATTTTGTGAGCTTCTTCCTATGTTGGAGAAATTATAGGTGTTTGTCACTTTTCTAGAAGGAAGAACTTTTGATTAAAGGTAAGAATTTATTTGGTTTTCTACTAGATGAATAAAGTAATGTAGGGGGAAATAATACCTCTCCATAAATTCTTAGTTAGAATGGACACCTATTACAAAAGACAAATTATAAGAAAAATCAGGTTTTTAACATGTATATTTCACATGTACATACCAGACACCCAGAGAACAAACAGATCTCAAAGAAGCAGCTTTGAATTCCCGCTTACATGGCACCATCAAAAAAGTTTAGTAAATTTTTACAGAAATTACAAAACAAAGAAGGATTCTGAGTTTCTAAGACAGTGTTTTTCAACTCTTTTTTTATGTCACGGCATACTTGAACCTATAGTTAAATTATGTTGCACAAATTAAATTATGCACACCTAAATTATGTTGATTTAAAAAAGTAAAAAAATAATATACTTACTGTGCTTTCAACTTCTTTCAAAAATAACTAATTTTTTTTTTTTTTTTTTGAGACAGAGTCTCACTTTGTCACCCTCGGTGCTATGGAGCGCCGATAAAGCCTAGATGCTGAAGGGCGCAGAGACCGCCTCTTCCCTTGAGCAATCCCGGGCAGTCCACGCAAACAGGGGAGGAGCCGCCATTACCCTCGTTTGTCCAAATGGGCCCAGGTGGTTGGTCCAAATTCAATCCTACCCGCCCCTTACCGCAAACCGATTGGCTGACGTGTCTTTCCAAAGCTACTCTTCCTCCAGTCATCTTTGCGGCGTCCCTCGGCTTTGTTTTTGAGTTTGGAATTTGTTTTATACACGTCTGTGCCTAAACATTTTCTCCGCTGTCCTTGGACATCGGCGTGATTTCCTGACATGCACGTGGCGCGGGGATGTGGCTGCTTTAGAGTGGAGGGTAGGGACGGCGCCTGTGGCTCAAAGGAGTAAGGCGCCGGCCCCATGTGCCCCGAGGTGGCGGGTTCAAACCTAGCCCCAGCCAAAACCACAAAAGAAAAAAAAAAAAAAATAGAGTGGAGGGTGGGGTTGAGGACCAGTCTGGGTGGTCCCTCGGGATGTGTCTGGGTGTTAGGCAACCGGCTGCCCGCCCCAGAGCTCCCCTCCCCCTGTCCCTCCCCCCGGCTCCTCCCCTGCAGCCGGCCCCCCTCCCAGAGGGTGGAGCCCACCTTTTCTTTTCTTTTCTTTTTTTTTTTTTTTGAGACAGAGCCTTAAGCTATCCCCCTGGGTAGAGTACTGTGGCATCACAGCTCACAGCAACCTCCAACTCCTGGGCTCAGGCGAGTCGCCTGCCTCCGCCTCCAAGTAGCTGGGACCACAGGCGCCAGCCACAACGCCCGGCTATTTTTTTGGTTGCAGCCATCATTGTTGTTTGGCGGGCCCGCGCTGGATTCGAACCCACCACCTTAGGTGTATGCGGCTGGCGCCTTAGCCGGTTGAGTCACAGGCGCCGAGCCGAGCCCACCTTTTCTAAAAATACACAAATTATTTTCATTAAGATATTCTTGTGTTGTGTGCGTTGCTTGGTTTCCTTGGCTTTTTCAAATCCTAATTGAGGCAAACAGATTGAACTGCCCTTAAGGTATTTAATTACTTAGGAAGAGAAATATGTAATATTAATTTGGGGCGGGGGAACATTTCACCAAAACCTACTGCAGAGCAGGGGCGGCTTGGCGGGGTCAAGAGCCGCCCACAGCCCCGGCAGACGCCCACGCCTGCCCGGGGGATGCCTCTAAGCGCAAAACCAAGGGGGGGCGCACCCCTGCAGAAGTGCTCAGCGGGCTAGGACTCAAATGGAGTTTGCGCATTTCCAAGCTGGTGCACTCGTCGTGGTGATGACAAATTTGCTTTCGCGCTGTTTCGCTTCCGCAAGCACTTCATCTGTCTTTCCTTCCCACCCGCCACTGGCATTTGTAGCCCTCTCCTATTCCCTGAAATACAGTGGAAATAGGTATCAAAGCCGCGTCTGCAGACAGGGACGTTGGGAAGCTGGTTGCTTTACCTCCTCGCTTTGGTCCGAATGTGGGCGCTTCTGGCCCCCAGATCCCCCAAGAGCACCGTCTTCGCGGCTGGAGAGCCCTTAGGTGCTGGCCCAGAGCAAAGCAATGCCTTTAAGAGTGGGGTCTCGCCGGCGACCCAACCCTACGCCACAGATGTCCCTAGTGAAAATGCTCCCCAGCGATGGTGGGAAGGCCTTTGTACCCGGGATGCCGACTGGAAGCCGTTCAGAGGATAAAGGCCACACACATCCTCTTTTCTTGGCAATCTTATAAGCATTAAGCAAAGTCCCATGCTCTCTGCAGAACTCCATAGCACATCCTGTCATTTCAGCCTCTCCAACTTCCTCCAGCTCCAAATCCCAAAATGTTCCAATCGTCCTCCGATCCTGTCCTTTTTCCATCTGTATGGTGCTGGCCCCATGCAAGTGCCTCCCTCCCTCTGGAGTCTGGACCTAGTCTGCTTTCCTTTAGTTAGTCCACGACAGCATTTGGGGGGAAAGTAACATCACAAAAAGTGTTATGTGTTTGCCATTGCCATGTGCCATTTGTATTAAATGCTTATGTGTGAGAAATTTAAAGAGACTTGCGTTCTTGGCGGCGGGGGTGGCAGGGTGGGGGGAGCGCCCAAGGGGAGTGGAGAGCACTCAAGACAGGAAGCCTTTATCCTAGCACAAAAATCAAAGATGTTAAAATGGGCTCATTTCTTGCGTTCAGTCATTCATTTAATGTATTTATTGACTGGCTTCCAACACCTGGGACTGAACTCTAGAACCATTAAAGAAGTGGGAAGGGGAGGTGCTTATGTATTTGTTTAAATAATCTAAACCCCTTTTTATTTTTTAGAAGCAGGGTTGCTCAGGTCGGGGTGCAATAGCACCTGTATTGTATGTAGCTACCTCAACTCCTGGGCTCAAGCAATCTTCCTGCCTCAGCCTCCAAAGTAGCTGGGATTACAGGTGCACTACATGGTGCCCCACTAATATTTTTGTTTTCTTGAGACAAAGTCTCATTCTGTTGCCCAGGCTAAAATGCCATGGCATCAGCTTAGCTCACAGCAATCTCAGACTCCTGGGTTCAAGAGATCCTCTGGCCTCTCCCTCCCAGTAGCTGGGGATTACAGTAGGCACTCAACACAATGCCATGGCTAGGGTTTTTTTTTTAATTTTTAGTAGAGAAGAGGTCTTGCTTTTGTTCAGGTTGGTCTCAAACTCATGAGCTCAAGTGATCCTCCCACTCGGGCCTTCCAGAGTGCTAGGATTCCAGGTATGAGGCACTGTACCTGGCCTTAGCTTAATTTTTTAAATATAATTTAAACTAGATTTTTAATAGCAAAATGATTATTGTTGCAACAATAAAAATTAAAATTACTGCATTTGAGCCATGGTGATAATAAATTTAACATTTTTATTTTATAAGCCAAGTTTAAATCCCCTTATTTTTATTTTTTTAATTTCAGATTAAAGTGAGAGTACAATGTTTTCATTTGTTAGGTAGAGTGCCTCCTAAAATTAGTTGTGTCCTGTATCCAAGAGGTGTGCCATATACCCTTACATTGTGCCTAAATTTTTTTTACAGAGACAGAGTCTGGCTATGTTGCCAAGGCTGGAAACTCCTGGTCTCAAACTGCTCTCCCACCTGGCCCTCTCCGAGTGCAGGTGTGGGCCTTCAGGCCAGGCCTTAAACTGCCTTGTAAATTACTCTTCCAGGCCATTACTCCCAAGCACAGATGCTTGTTTCTAGTAGCTAAGCTAGAAGCCCTGGGGTTTTTTTGGTTTGCGAATTTGGGGGGTTACTTTTTCTTTCCCTTTCCTCCTCCTTCCTCCCCTCCCTCTTTCTTTCTTCCTCCTTCTTTTCTCAGGAGGAAACTCTCAGATTTACCTCATAGTGTATCATCGGTCAATACATCATGTCAGTTTCCATACCAACTATCAGTTGGCTACGGTTGCTATAATAAAATACCACAGACCAGTGGCTTAAACAGTAGAAATCTATTTCTCACAGTTTGGAGGCTGGAAATCTGAGATCAAGTTCTATGAGGTCCCTCTTCCTGGTCTGTAGACAGCCACTTTCTGACTTTGTCCTCACATGGAGCTCAGAAAACAATACCCCAAAATGAAGGCCTGAGAATCAGAAAGGTTCTCTCTGATCTTCTCTTGCCCTCCTGTCAGCCTTCTTCTCTCCCTAGCTAGCCATAGAAGCTAGAATCTCTCTTCCCCAAGGGAGGGGGAAGTCACAGAAACCCTTTTCCCTAAAGCCAGACAAAGAAATCTAAAAATATAGGCTCAGCACCTGTAGTTCAGCAGCTAGGGTGCCAGCCACATATACCAGAGCTGGTGGGATCGAACCTGGCCCTGTCTGCCAAACAACAATGACAACTACAACAAAAAAAAATAAACAGGCACTGTGGCGGGCGCCTGTAGTCCCAGCTACTTTGGAGGCTAAGGCAACAGAATTGCTTAAGCCCAAGAGTTTGAGGTTGCTGTGAGCTGTGATGCCACAGCACTCTACTGAGGGTCACATAGTGAGACTCTGTCTCAAAAAGGGGGAGGGGGCAGTGCCCAGCCCCATATACCGAGGGTGGTGGGTTCGAACCTGGCCCCAGCCAGCTAAAACGGCAGTGACAACTGCAACAACAACAACAACAAAAATAGCCAGGTGTTGTGGGGGGCACCTGTAGTCCCAACTACTCAGAAGGCTGAGGCAAGAGAATTGCCTAAGCCCAAAAACAAGTTGGAGGTTGCTGTGACTTTAACTTTCCACCCAGCCTTTCTGTATTAAAACTGGCCATAAAGAAATTCTGTGATCTACTTTGTTTGACTGTAGGTCATGAGACATACACACCCCCAGTCCACAGACTAGGACAGGACCCTACACCCAAAAAATGCTGCTTAGAGATGCTTAGAATAATTCAGACAGACAGGCCTTACTGGGTTTCCCCAGTTTATTAACACCAGATCATACACTTTATGTCCAATCATTTCTACACAGCTGTGCATGCTTTGTAAAACCTAAGCATAAAAATGGACAGTTTCTTCTTTATCTTTGGACCTTTATCCTGCAGGCTCCCATATCATGTAAAACTATGATCAGATACATTTGTTTGCCTTTTCCCTTATTAATCTGCCTCTTGTCAGTTGATTTTTCAGTGAACCTTCTGTGGTATAAGGAAACTTTCCCTTGGCTCCTATAGTGACTGAGAAAGAGAAAAGCAAGCTCTTTTACGTCTCTTCTACTAAGGCCACTAATCCCATCCATGAGGCCCCACCCTCATGATCTACTAACCTCCTAAAAACCCCACCTCCTAACACCACCACCTTCAGATGGAGGGTTTTCAGCCTGTGAATTTGTGGATAGCATCCCATCTGTAACAATGAGCCATGAAAAGCTGGGGCTGATCTCCTGACACTACCAAGTAGCCACTATGTGGTAGGTGGGCAGAACAATTCCTAAATCTCAGGGGCTACACTAAAAGACAACTTTTTATCCAAAGTCCTCCTTAGAGACACTTATGTCCTGTCCTAAGTTTTGTTCCAAACTCACCCACTCCAGTAGGAAGCCAGGATGGCGAGTTCTTGCAAAGCCAATTTAGTAGGTCTCTTGCTAACACTATTTTCCAAGTGCACAGATGGGCCTAGGAGGAAGTCCAGGAGCCTGACTACAGTTCAACCAGAGAATCTTTGTCATAGAGCATACCCTGCAGGACTGTTAAAAGAACTAAATTGAATTAAGTATTTATTAAGGGGTTACTGAGCTTCTAGTATGCAATCTGGAAACGTTTGCTAAACCCACTGCATATTTGAAAAGGAAACATTAAAAAAAATGCTTAAAGCGATTATGTCCAAAGCAGCTCAAGATTGTACACTCTCAAGTGTGACATAGACCTCAGAAGACAGACTTGAATGCAGAGGTCACTGAGCTCACAGGCGTATTCACTGATAAGCATTCATTGGGCCTTCACTAGGTGCTGGGTTTGCTCTGGAGATTCAGATGTGAAACCCACATCCTTGCCCTGTGGATTATAGTCTGAGTTCTGGTGGGAGAAAAACTCATGCTACATAGTTATGTGATACAGCTGTCCAGGGAATCAACAGAGCTCAGCTTAGGCAGCCCAAGCTGCTTGTGGCTGGGTCTGTCCTAAGAAGCAAAAGAGTTAAGAGGAATTAGGCACAAAAATTAATGCTGGGCACCCTGCCAGTTGCTTCACACAGACTCTCAAGTAACCCTATCAAGGTGGCACTTCCAGCCTCATTCTACAGATGAGGACATGGAGAAATGCAGAAGGAAAATAATCTGCCCAAGGCAGAGCAGATAGATGACCACCAGATTAGGGCTTTTCTGCGTGTGTGCACGCACAATAAAAATGCATATTCTGACTCACTCTCTCTCACATACATATACAAACACACACACGTCTTTTTTAAAATGCAGATTCTAAGTCAACTGGAGTGGGGTCTGAGATTCTGCTTTGCTAACCAGCTCTGCAGGTGATGCTGAAATTCTTCACACCTTATGTTTCTTTGTTGAGAGTTAATATAACACCGGGGAGGCATCTCAGAGTCCAGTGTCTTCCAAAAGCCTGTGTTCTCATGGGTGTAACTGCAGAGCATCGCTAGTGCCTACCTCTTGGATACATTAGGAGACAGATTAGATCATGCATCTTAAGCACTTAGCATTGTGGCTGTCACCTTAGCGCGATTCCAGAGGCCTTAACGACATCGAGAGGAAGGATTAGCATTTCTTTGAAACTCATTCTATTTCCTGTATCCAGTTAAAAATCTGCTCCGTGGCTGGCTACACGTCTAATACATTATATATTGAATTCTGAAAGGAATGTACCTCTTTAGTCTTGGGGTGGGGGGAGATGGGAAATAAATGGCCAAGAAGTTGCAAGCTGCAAGCTGCTATTCCCATCCGCATTGCCCCGGCTAAGTAAGCATCAGCTCCCCCTCCCTAGCTGACGGCCTCTGTAAGAAATGCCCCAAAGTATTTGCCTCACAGTCAAAGAAGTCGGAGATGAAGGGCTGCAACGGGTTGTCAATTCCTTCTCAGCTCCATCCAGGCCCACCGCAGGCACACACAAACACACACACACAAATCCTCTCTGGGTTTAAGACAAAGGATTTGAACAAAGGGGGCAACCTGAGCTGGGGCCTGCGGCAGAGGAGCTTTTGCATTGGTTGCACTACCGTCCAATAGGGAAAAAAAGCTGGCATGACTTATTTACATAACTCCTTCTTGTTGGTAGCTGGAGGCGTTGGGCCTTCCAATCAGACGCGAGAGATTTGGAGCCTTCATTTGAATATAAAGATGACAAATAGCCCTGCCCTGCCTGGATAGCCCGTCATTCGGGGCGCTGCTGCCACCTAGCCATGCCGGAGCCTTCGCGGTCGGCTCCGGCGCCCAAGAAGGGTTCCAAGAAAGCCATTACAAAGGCACAAAAGAAGGACGGTAAGAAGCGCAAGCGCGGCCGCAAGGAGAGCTACTCCATCTATGTGTACAAGGTGCTGAAGCAGGTGCATCCAGACACCGGTATCTCCTCCAAGGCCATGGGCATCATGAACTCCTTTGTCAACGACATTTTCGAGCGTATTGCTAGCGAGGCCTCTCGCCTGGCTCACTACAACAAGCGCTCGACCATTACGTCCCGCGAGGTGCAGACGGCAGTGCGCTTGCTGCTTCCCGGGGAGTTGGCCAAGCACGCTGTGTCTGAAGGTACCAAGGCTGTCACCAAGTACACCAGCTCCAAGTGAGGCGTACGCTGTGTGCCCGGAACCCAAAGGCTCTTTTCAGAGCCACCTCCAAGTTCGAAAAGGAGTGTGCCACCTTGCCTGGTCGTATACCCTGATTAATCGGGGTGGTGAGGAGAGGTACAGTGTGCAGCGGGAGGAGGGAGGCTAGTCTTGAGATAAAAACTTGTGCGTATTGGCACATTACCTTTAAAAAAAAGATGATTGAGGCCCCCGGGGTGGTTTAACATCTGTAATGCCAGCACTTTGTTGGAGGCCCAGGAGGGAGGATTGCTTGAGGCTTGGAGTTTGAGCCCATCCTGAGCAACATAAGGAGACCCCCATTTCTACCAAAAAACTAAAAATTATCTGAGAGTAGTGCTGTGTGCTTGTAGTCTTAGCTACTCAGAGGCAGGATGATGGCTTAGAACCAGGAGTTTGAAGCTGCAGTGAGCTGTAATTGAGCCACCACACTTCAGGCTGGACACAGTCAAATCCTGTATTAAAAAACAAATAACACTTAATGGGTTCTGGGTTAATCTTGGCCACAGCTAGAAGCTGGAGAAGACGATTGTGCCCATGGATCTCAACCAACGATCCATTGGCGTGTGACATGCACCCTACCCATGAGTCACCACCTGGAAGATATTGTGCCAATCCCCTACCCTGGCGGGAGGATGGAGGCTCAGTGAGGCCTTTGAGTTGTTGCTCTGCCCTGACGGTGGTGCTTGGGGCCCTCCTTCCACTTTCCCTTCTTCCTTTGCAGAGAGCTTCTGCCCACCCTCCCCCCCACACACACCGACCCCCCAAATTCAGCTTTACAAAGCTACACACAGCTCCATATGTCATATGTTCCTTTTTGAAACATCAAAACCAGTGCACATGACTGGGCCCCTGTAGCCCAGCGGCTAGGGTCCCAGCCACATACACCAGGGCTGGCAGGTTCAAACCTGGCCCAGGCCTGCCAAACAACGACAACTACAACAAAAAGCCAGGCATTGTGGCAGGTGCCTATATTCCTAAGTACTTGGGAAGGTAAGGCAAGAGAATCGCTTAAGCCCAAGAGTTTGAGGTTGCTGTGAGCTGTGACACCACCACACTCTACTGAGGGCAACATAATGAGATTCTTGTTTCAAAACAAACAACAACAACAAAAACACCAGTGCACAGACCCTTTTCTTCACCCTTAGCACTCAGCGGCAATTTCCCCAATTCAGAAATTCAGGTATTCTTTCAGCCCAGAATATGTGTGTGTGTGTAAGCCTAGTAAACAATTGGAGATCCTTTTACATAAAGCAAATGCTGTGCCTTTTTTAAAAATTCCAGTAAATCGTTGACAAAATATTAAATATGGCTTGGCGCCTGTGGCTCAAGCGGCTAAGGCACCAGCCACATACACGTGAGCTGGCAGATTCAAATCCAGCCCAGGCCCGCCGAACAA